ACACCACTCTCAATTCACTGATTTCACTGCTTCACAGGAGATACCAAAAAATAAAACTAAAGCAAGTGAACAGTCAGCTTCACGTATCTACGAGCAGATGAAGGGTTTGTCCTTTTGTGATCAACAGGCAAAGCTACAGAGGGTCAATATCCCAGCCAAGTAAGGTAGAAAAGCTCCAGTTCAAGTGGAAAACAGGGACCAGTACAAATGTGAGCAATCAGTACACTACACCCAGGCAAGGAACGTGAAGATTAGAGGGAAAGGCTACAGCTCAGGAAGCACCTGAATTTGAAACACGGGCTATGAATAAATGAATGCAGGCAGCTGGCAATAAGGAGATTATTAATGTGTACCCACTGCCCATTACCTGCCAGGAGTTACACATCCCTCCTTCCCTTTCCTCCTATCCCTGTTGTCCCTTTTCATTTTCACTCTCTTTATAGAACTTGATGTTCTATAGATGATTGAAAGGTATGGCCACCAAATGACAATTGAGGTACTACTCCATTTTTATCCTCAGTTTTTTTCCCTCTGCTTAGACTCCTACATTTTTTTCTTTAGTATTTTTCCTCACTGCTTTTATTCTAGCCTGCATGTTGAATTCAAGACTGTTGAGACTCCACAGACAAAAGAAAAAACTGTTTTGACCTGTGCTCTCATCAATACGTAAAAACACATACCCTGCTCACTTCATACTCATTAGTATGACTACTATCAAAACACACACACACACACACACAGAAAATAACTGGTAAGGATGTGAAGAAATTGGAATTCTTGTACACTGTTGGTGGGAATGTAAAATGACACAGCTGCTGTTGAAAACAGAATGGCAGTTCCTCAAAAAATTAAAAACAGAATTACCATATGATCCAGCAATCCCACTTCTGGGTATATACCCAAAAGAATTGAAAGCAGGGTTTCAAAGCAGTATTTGTACACCCATGTTCATAGCAACATTATTCACAATAGCTAAAACAAGGAAGCAACCCAAGTGTCCACTAACAGGTGAACGGATAAGCAAAATGTGGTATATACATACAATGGACTATTATTCAGCCTTAAAAAGTAAGGAATTTCTGACATATACCACAACATGGATGAACCTTAAAGGCATTATGCTGAATGAAATAAGACAGTCACCATAAAGACAAATACTGTATGATTCCACCTATATGAGATACTTAGAGTAGTCAAAATCATAGAGACAGAAAGTAGAAGGATGGGGGAGTGGTTTATAGGGAGTCACTGTTTAATGGTACAGAGTTTCAGTTTTACAAGATGAAAAGAGTTATAGATACAGATGGTTGTGATGGATGCACAATATTATGAATGTATTTAATACCAATGAACTGCATACTTGAAAATGGTTAAGGTGATAAATTTTATGTTTTATGTACTTTACCAAAATTTTTTTAATTGAAGGGAAAAAAAATACCCTGCTAAAAATGCAGGAGTAAAGGTTAGTAGGAATAAAAAAGTTGGTTCACTTTTTCTTGCCTCCTACACCAATATTCTACATTGGGTATGGCCATGCATTGGTCAAATTGGGCTATTCACCATTTCTTGAAGCTGCTCCACATTTTCCTGCCCCACCTCAGCTATATTCTTAGCCTAAATGCCCTATGTGGCTGCCCTTCATTTCAGTCTAAAATACTCTACACGTTCTTCAAGCACAACAAAAATGGGGCTTCCCTGGTAGTGCAGTGGTTAAGAATCTGCCTGCCAATGCAGGGGACACGGGTTCGAGCCCTGGTCCGGGAAGATCCCACATATCACGGAGCAACTAAGCCCGTGCACCACAACTACTGAGCCTGTGCTCTAGAGCCCGTGAGCCACAACTACTGAGCCTGCGCACCACAAATACTGAAGCCGACGCGCCTAGAGCCCGTGATCCGCAACAAGAGAAGCCACCACAGCGAGAAGCCCGCGCACCGCAACGAAGCGTAGACCCCGCTCGCCGCAACTAGACAAAGCCTGCATGCAGCAACAAAGACCCAATGCAGCTTTAAATAAATAATTAATTATTTGGGGAAAAAAACCCAACAAAAATGGCATCTCCATCTGCCAGAAGGAACTAATATCTCTTTTCTGTCCACAGTAGTCCACTCAGACCTCTATTTCCAAATGCTACAGCATCCTTGCATCATGTTTATTTGTGTATGTTCTTTTTATTGCAGCTAGACATTCCATCTCTGCTCAAAGCCTTTTTGTTTAAAAATCATGTTTGCTTTTTATGTTTCCATAAGAATTCCATAAGAGAGATGTTTTATCCCTCAGTGTTGCTTATAAGGTAAATGAAGATTGGAACTAGATGTTATCTTGAGCCCATAGTTTCAGCCTTAAGTCAAACAATCAAAGGCTATTTCCCTTGGTACCTCAGACCAGCAGCTGTGCAGAAGCTGTGCTGCCAGGCACAGGCAAATCTTCTATTCTACTCCCAATACCAAAAGAATCATGCTACTCAAAAACCACTCAGAAAACTTAAGTATTCTAGCCTCGGGCAGAGGACTGAGAATAGTGAGAGCAAGACCTAGATATTATTTAGCAATGTATTTTAAAGAAAATAAGAGAGAGAGTTTCTAGACAATCTTTTCTCACAGTATACTTCAATTTTTATCTCATAACAAAACAAAAGAATCAAAATACGGGCCACCTAGAGAGGAGTAGCCCCCAATATTTAGAAATCCTAAGACATTGCCTACACAAGTGCTGTTCTTACTTTTTGGCCTGCAGTCCCTTATCCTCATCCCCTGTAGACCTAGCAAACACTTCAGAAACTCAGGTAAGATGTCAAATTCTCTAGGAAACCTTTTCTGACCACTCAAAGCGTAATATCTGATAGAAATACAAGGTATTCACTAGTGATTTATGATATCAACTAAAATTACTTAGAATGTCTAGAATCACATATGAGATACTACTCCTTACATTTCTAGGAGACAATCCATTTACTTTCTGTGAAATAATTGCTTTGTTTTTTTTGTCCAGATTCAAATCCTCTAAGCAAAAGCAGTTTTAAAAAGAGAAACACAGGGGACTTCCCTGGTGGTCCAGTGGTTAAGACTTCACCTTCTAATGCAGGGGGTGAGGGTTCAATCCCTGGTTAGGAGCTAAGATTCCACATGCCTCGTGGACAAAAAACCAAAACATAAAACAGAAGCAATATTGTAACAAATTAATAACCATAATTCAAAAAGAGACATGTACTACAATGTTCACTGCAGCACTATTTACAATAGCCAGGACATGGAAGCAACTTAAGTGTCCACTGACGGATGAATGGATAAAGTAGATGTGGCACATGTATACAATGGAATATTACTCACCCTTAAAAAAGAAACGAAACTGAGTTATTTGTAGTAAGGTGGATGGACCTAGAATCTGTCATACAGAGTGAAGTAAGTCAGAAAGAGAAAAACAAATACTGTATGCTAACACATATATATGGAATCTAAAAAAAAAAATTGTTCTGATGAACCTAAGGGCAGGACAGGAATAAAGATGCAGACATAGAGAATGGACTTGAGGACTAGGGGGTGGGGGGCTGGGGGGAAGGGGAAGCTGGGACAAAGTGAGAGAGTGACATGGACATATATACACTACCAAATGTAAAATAGCCAGTGGGAAGCAGCCGCATAGCACAGGGAGATCAGCTCGGTGCTTTGTGACCAACTAGAGGGGTGGAATAGGGAGGATGAGGGGGAGGTTCAAGATGGAGGGGATATATGTATACATATAGCTGATTCACTTTGTTATATAGCACGAACTAACACAGCATTGTAAAGCAATTATACTCCAATAAAGATGTAAAAATATACATATATTGTAACAAATTCAATAAAGACTTTAAAATGGTCCATAACAACAAAATCTTTAAAAAAAATAAATAACTGCCTTTTTAAGGTATCATAAGCAATTCTGAAACACAGTAACTGCAAAAGGATAACAGATGAAATATCAACACTGACTTTAATCAAAGTGTAATGTTTAGGCTAAATGCTTAGACTCCTTGAGCCTGTTTCCTAATCTTTAAAATGGGTGTACACCACATAAGGTTTTTCGCAAGAAACAAATTAAATAAAATATAACATGTCTAACAGAGTTCCTAACACATAGGAGGCCCACAAAAATAATTTTTACAGGTTATCTCTAGAGTACACTTAATTACTAGATTCAGTCCTATCACTAGTTCTTAGTCTAAACCAGTGTTGTCCAATGTGGTAGCCATTAGCCACAAGTGACTGTTGAGCACGTGGAATGTGACTAGTCCAAACTGACATGTGCTTTAAGTGTAAAATACTCACCAGATTTCAAAGACTTAGTGAAAAAAATAATCTAAAACATCTCATTAATATTTGTATACTGATTACACGTGAAGAGATAATACTTTGGATATACTAGGTTAAACAAAATGTTAAAGTTAATTTCACTTTTTTCTTTTTACTTTTTTAATGTGGCTACTAGAAATTGTAAAAATTGCATGTCTGGCTCTCATTACATTTCTATTGGACAGGCTGAGCTACTCTATGACTTCAAGCTGGTGAACGTGCTCTCTTAACCATACAGTGGACTGCTTGGCTGGGGTTCACTCCAGCTAACCCACCCCTTATCCCGGCATACACATGATCACTTTAACATCCTTGAACACTTCCACGGCCTGGGAAAGCTGATAGCTTGATCACTCTTAATTTTAAAAAGTATGGCGCGCACAGATCCGCCGAGGCAACTCGAAATCGTAACCTACACAAGAAAGAAGTGTCTGGAGACAAAACCCAAGTTTTCTCCGTTGGGTGTCGGTCAACACTGCTGCGGGGAGCCCTAAGAAAGTGAGAAAAGGGACAGAGCGAGTGCAGGGGATCTGAAGGAGTGCAGGGGATCCAGGAGCCCCTGGAGCGGAGGTCTGAGGAGGGAAGCCTTTCAGCTTCTGGGGTGACGAGTCGGAGGGCGGCGGGGAAGAGATTTGACTCCGCGGCGGAGGCTGCAGGGAGTAGCGGTACCTTAAGAATCCCCTTCATCTTCGCCATAAAGGGGCGGAACTCCTCAGGTGGCACCTCCGGATAGAGCTGACTCCGCAGCAGCTCCTCCGTGATGCCCGGGTACCCATGGAAAGCGTCCTGAGCCAGGCCGCTCAGCAACCCGCTCAGCGGCTTAGCGCCCTCAAGCTCGCCCGCCATAGTTGGCGGAGGCCCCGCCCCCCAACAGCTGAGCGTGGCCCCGCCACGGCAGCCGATATGGGCCTAAACAGATGGACAAAGGCGCGCGAGGAAAGTGGCGGCGGAGTTCCAGCAGGGGTCGGTGTTGGCCCCTCCCAGCTCTGCAAAACCCAACGCTTAGGTTTGCCACCGCGGAGCTATCAATCCATTAAGTTCCATACCGCTCACTTTGCTTCCGCTTATTTCCTTCATCACTCCAGGGGCTTGTCGAAGAAAAAAATTGCTCAATGGAGATTACTTTAGACGGAGTAGCATCCTATGCGGGTAGCAGTTTAACTTTCGGATGGCTGTATCTCACTGCAAGCTTTGCCAATCCATTAACTGAATAGCATCTATCACTCAAATCTGACCTCTGCCTAATCCTTACCTGTGCACCTTTGTCCACGAAAAATTTAACTATACCCTGGTAATATGTTTTTTTGGGTTGTTAATTGCCTTTTTACATACATGTGTGTTGTCTTTCCAGCTAGATTAGTGGCTCTGATCCAATGTTCCTTTCTATAACATATATTTTGTTAACACTTTCTTTACTATCCTAAAATAAAGTGCATAGATAATATAACTTCTTACCCATATAATTTCCAAAAATCAATATATTATTCACCAATAAAAAGGAATGAGTTACTGATACATGCTGCAACATGGATGAGCCTTAAAAACATGCTAAGTGAAAGAAGACAAAGGGCCAGATATTGTATGATCCCATTGATATGAAATGTGCAGAACAGTCAAATCTATATACACAGAAAGTAGATTAATGGTTGCCAGCAACTGGAGGAGTGGGGAATGGAGAATGACTGTTAATGGGTTTCTTTTGGGGATGATGAAAGTGTTCTAGAATTAGATAGTGGCTCTGATTGTACAACTTTGTGAATATACTAAATCCACTGAATTGTACACTTTAAAAGAAAATGAACTTCACAGTATGTGAATTATATCTCAATTTAAAAATCAATATAATGACCTAACTGTAATTTAGGATAAAAATAAAAGGAAAGAAAGTTATAATATATGCATTTCAATGTATAAATGTTACGTTTCAGGCTCAGACGATAATAAACAGGTAGGTTTTTCACCTATATGAATGTCCCCTGCATGGCAAGATGTCTTGTATCCTTGGTGCCTGTCCAGCCCCAGCCATTCCTCCCCCTCCATTATTGTGACAACTGAAATACCCCTTTCGAAGTAGTGCCACGCTGCTGAGAATCACTGATCTAGACTACTTTAACTAATATTTATCCAGCATTTGCCTGAAGTCAGGAGGTATTCTTTATACTAGAAAATATATAAGATAGTTCTTTCCCTAAAGGAATTAATTTTCTAAAAAGCAAATTCAGAGATGATTTCAGAACTCCAAGAAAAACAAACCTAGAGATAAACTATACATCCTGTTAATTGTGCCTGCAGGAGTTGCAGAGAATGGTCCATGTAAGGGAAAAAGTAAAATAAGGGTGGTGAGTGGATAGAAAGCACTATTAAGTACATGACTTCCAAATTACCCACCAGAAAGGCTGTACTCATTTATTTCCATGAAACCTTACTAACACTGACTGGTATTATTCTTTAGAATCTTTGCTATCTGATACATGAGAAATACTATCTTATTGTTTTAATATGTATTTCTTAAATTTTGAGAGTGAATTTTTTATTTATATAATTGACAATATAACATTATGTTAGTTTCAAGAGTACAGCATAATGATTCCATATTTGTATATATTGCAAAATGATCACTACAATAAGTCTAGTTAACATCCATCACCACACAGCTACATTTTTTTTCCTTGTGGTGACAGCTTTTAAGATTAACTCTCTTAGCAACTTTCAGGAATTCCCTGGCAGTCCGGTGGTTAGGACTCCTCGCTTTCACGGCCTTGGGGAACTAAGATCCCACAAGCCACACAGCTTGGCCAAAAAAAAAAAGACAATACACTATTATTAACTGTAATTAACATGCTGTACATTACATCCCCAGGACTTATTTAAAAATGGAATTTGTACCTTTTGAAATGTTAAAAAAACAAAATTCAACTTTGTAAATTGTAAAGGTCTTATTGGCTTTATTCAACAATTCATGAATAGGGAAGCATTCAATCTCAGCTAGAAAGGTGCTCCAAGGAGCTGTACAAAATGAAAGACTTTTATAGGCAGAAGGGAGTGAGAATAAGGAAGTTGTACCTCAAAACAAAAAAGCAGGTTGGTTATTACAAGGTCACCTTCCTTTAGGGGACGTCAGGGATCTATCAGGCAGATTACCTAACTAGTGCTGATTAGGCGGTTCCTGATTGGCTGGTTTAAGATTCCATTTCTGGGAAAGGTGAAACTGTAATTCTCGGTTTGGTGATGTGGAGCTGGTTTAGCATAAGTGACTCCATTTGGGGCCTGCTGTCTTGTTTTAAACAACCACCTTTACGTGAGGACTTTTTTTTTTTTTTTTTGCGGTACGCGGGCCTCTCACTGTTGTGGCGTCTCCCGTTGCAGAGCACAGGCTCCGGACGCGCAGGCTCAGCGGCCATGGCTCACGGGCCCAGCCGCTCCGCGGCATGTGGGATCTTCCCAGACCGGGGCACAAACCCATGTCCCCTGCATCGGCAGGCGGACTCTCAACCACTGCACCGCCAGGGAAGCCCGACGTGAGGACTTTTTTATATATAGTTATTGACTGCTTGTATTTCTTCCCATTTCCTTGTCCACCTTCTACAGAGGTTTGTCACTTCAGTGATTTCTAACAGCTCTTTACACATTAGTAATACTAATGTTTGTCACTTACATTGCAATGTGTTCCTTAGGTTTATATAGTTGAATCTATCAACCCGCCTAAAAAAAGTCTGGAAAGTTATTTACCAACATGGTTATGAAGTATATCTCTAAGCAGATGGCTTTTATTTGCTTCTTTCCGCTTACCTGATTTTTCTAAATGTCTACAGTGTACATATAATATTGTTGTAATAAAAAGTTATTTAATGAAAAGATAAAGTGCCCATCAGGAGTTGCCTGGTGGCCTAGTGGTTAGGATTCCGGGCTTTCACTGACATGGCCCGGGTTCAATCCCTGGTGGGGGAACTGAGTGAGATCCCATAAGCCACACTGCGCAGCCAATAAAAATAAATAAATAAAGTGCCCATCAACAGACAATTGGTTTAAGGAGATGTGGTATATATACGTACATATATATATACATATATATATGTATACAGACACACATATTGGAATATTATTGGAATAATGGAATATTACTCAGCCATAAAAAATGAAATATTGCCATTTACAGCAACACGGATGGACCTAGAGAATATCATACTAAGTAAAGTAAGCCAGACAGAGAAAGACAAATATCATATGGTATTGCTTATATGTGAATCTAAAAAAAAAAAAAGATACAAATGAACTTATATACAAAACAGAAACAGACCCACAGACATAGAAAACAAACTTATGGTTACCAAAGAGGAAAGGAAGGGAGAGATAAATTAGAAATATGGGATTAACAGGTACAAACTACTATACATAAAATAGATAAGCAACAAAGATTTACTGTATAGCACAGGGAACCATATTCAATATCTCATAATAACCTATAATAGAAAATAATCTGGAAAATATATATATATATATCTGAATCACTTTGTTATATACCTGAAACTAACACAATACTGTAAATCAACTGTATTTCAGTTTTAAAAAAAGATGTGTCCTAAAATCAGAATTCTTTTAATGAAAAGCTTTAAAGAACATGTGTTCTGCATTACTGAGAAAAGCCACACACCTTACATAGTGTTTCATAACCATTTTGATAAAATAAGATGCTTTCAGAATCTTATAGAAGCCTCAGATATTTTCTCCCCAAAATGCAAGTACACACCAAATGTAGTCTACAATATCTAGGGGTTAATTTACCCCTCTGAAGTTTCTGTAAGCCTGCTAGTTTTCCACTGGTTCTAAGAACTTTCTCGTAGTACTCCCAGTTCTAATTAATCCTTACAATAAATAGGTTGATCTTTTATTAGAAGCAGGGGGAAATTCTGCATATCACTATCATTATTCAACTTTTATTCCAATGTATGTTATACCTGGACATATCACTTGTTAAAAATAAGGAAGGAGGCCCAAAATGGAGTCAGTTACGCTAGGCTCCACATCACCAAACTGAGACTTAATTACCAACTGGGAATCTCCTAATCAACACCAGTTAGGTAAACTGATAGATCCCTGCCATCCGCTAAACGAAGGTGACCTTGTAATAACCAACCTTCTTTTTTGTCTAGTGTAACTTCCATGTTCCCGCTCCCTTCTGTCTATAAAAGTCTTTCATTTTGTACAGCTCCTTGGAGCTACTTTCTACTTGCTAGATTGGATGTTGCCTGATTCATGAATCACTGAATAAAGCCAGTAAAATCTTTAAAATTTACTCAGTTGAATTTTGTTTTTTAACACAGGGCCTGCTTGAGCCTACAAGTTCCAAAACACCAAGATGACCAATAAAAAAAATCATCCCTGTGCCACCAGGGGCTGCTATTGCCAACGTAACTGTTCAAGGCTGGTAACAGCCGCATTTTTAGAATGCGTTTCAAACAAAAGGATCAAAGCACAAGCTTTATTTTATTAAATTTCAAAACACAACCTGTTTCGCAGATGATAAACCTGGACGCAGGCCTATTAAAAGAATTGCCTAATTGCTGTGAGACAACAGCAAGGAAAATACCCTGAGCCTTGGCTCAAAGGAAATTATAAGCATCTAACTAGCGGCCCTTCTGCTAAACAGGTTTCCTTTTCATTGTGGTCAGATAGGTTCCCATTCTAAGTCTCATTAAGCAACTAGTCGCTTCCCCTATTAAACTGCTCCTATTATGGCTTACAGGCTGTTTGGTCTCAGGCCAGCAATACATGTTTTTATAAGATTTTCCAGCTCTGCAAAATGTTAAAATTTAAAATGTGAACTGAAATAATGTGGAAATACAGGGGCCCCTAAGTTT